ATCTGTACCTGTTTATGCTATATTTAATTTACTTATTTATTTATTTAAGGACAACCAACAAAGTATACACCAAAATCTATATATATAAAATTCAAAGGTGATTGACTGACTGACTGATTGACTGACTGATATAGTGATCTATCAACGCACAGCCCAAACCGCTGGACAGATTGGGCTAAAATTTGGCATACAGATAGATGTTATGACGTAGGCATTCGCTAAGAAAGGATTTTGATAATTTCCACCCCCAAGGGGGTAAAAAAGGGGATGAAAGTTTGTATGAAACTTTGTCAGTTTTTAACTGATCGGCTTGAAATTTGGCATGCAGATAGATGTTATAACGTAAGCATCCGCTGTGAAAGGATTTTGATAATTTCCACCCCCAAGTGGGTCAAATAGGGGATGAAAGTTTATATGAGCCTTTGTCAGTTTTAAACCGATCAGGTTGAAATTTGGCATGCAGATAGATGTTATGACGTAAGCATCCGATATGAAAGGATTTTGATAATTTCCACCCCCAATGGGGGTAAAATAGGGGATGAAAGTTTGTATGAGACTTTGTCAGTTTTAAACCGATCGGGTTGTAATTTGGCATGCAGATAGATGTTATGACGTAAGCATCCGCTATGAAAGGATTTTGATAATTTCCACCCCCAAGTGGGTAAAATAGGGGATGAAAGTTTATATGAGCCTTTGTCAGTTTTAAACCGATCGGGTTGTAATTTGGCATGCAGATAGATGTTACGACGTAGGCGTCCGCTATGAAAGGATTTTGATAATTTCCACCCCCAAGTGGGTAAAATAGGGGATGAAAGTTTATATGAGCCTTTGTCAGTTTTAAACCGATCGGGTTGTAATTTGGCATGCAGATAGATGTTACGACGTAGGCGTCCGCTGTGAAAGGATTTTGATAATTTCCACCCCCAAGTGGGTAAAATAGGGGATGAAAGTTTATATGAGCCTTTGTCAGTTTTAAACCGATCAGGTTGAAATTTGGCATGCAGATAGATGTTATGACGTAAGCATCCGCTTTGAAAGGATTTTGATAATTTCCACCAAGGGGGTAAAATAGGGGATGAACGTTTGTGTGAGGCTTTGTCAGTTTTACACCGATCGGGTTGAAATTCGGCGTGCAGATGGATATTATGACGTAAACGTCCCTTTAGAAAGGTTTTTGAACATTCTCACCCCAAAGTATGATACTTTGCCAGTTTTAAATTGATCGGGCTGAGACTTTGCATGCATAAAGTTACTATGACATAGGTATCTCTTTAGAAAGGATTTTGATAAATTCCACCCCTAAGGGGATAAAATAGGGAATGAGAGTTTGTATAAATCTTCTTAGCCGTTGAATTTAGAATCATTGAATCTTTTTGAATTACATTCGGTAAAACGATGATTTGGGACCTGGGTAACGTATGATAGTTTTTTCACAGATGTCTCACGAGAACGGGAACTATGCGTCAATGCCCCAGGACTCTCTAACTCTTAACCACTGAACTTATTCTAGAGAGATTCGGTACAACAATAGTCGATAGAATAGTTTTTATTACTCAAACCTTACGTGATCGGGCACTGTACTGGTAAGATCCCTGCGGGATTATTTATTTATTGAAACTACGATAAATCATTTCAAAATAGGTAAATCTTACTTGGGCACTGAATTGATTCTGGTTAATTCTGTCAGAAGTCATTAATCTACGCGGACGAAGTCGCGGGCAACAGCTATCTACACATATAATAAATCGTAGAAAAGTCAAAACTGTACATTGAATATTTTTTAAAAGAATATTTGAAGCGTGATCTCTAATCGATACCGAAGCCAATAATGTGGTTTTTAGAATTTTTGTCTGTTTGTCTGTATGTATGGCCGTGATGATCTCAAAAAGTACTGCACTACTATTTCAAATTTTGCATGAATATTACTAACAAGTCTGGTAAACATATAGGCTACATATTATCACGCTATCATCTACGGGACTGAATCAATTCTGACGACATCCATTACCGTAGAATATCCCTTGATAAAAACTAATTCAAAAGCCTAAATTCTGCCAGAAGTCATTATTCTACGCGGACGAAGTCGCGGGCAACAGCTAGTTCTAATTATAAGTTTGATATCACCAATCCGCATTGAGCAAGCGCTTTGATTAATGCTCAAATCTTCTTTGTGTGTGAAGAGGCCTTTGGTCAGCAGTGGCTACTAATAGGCTGTTGATGTGATGTAATGTGAATCATTAAATATCTCCGAGTACGATAGTAAGAAACAAAACTCAACATTTTACTTAATTTTTGGTACATTGTCTTGTATTTTGTCATACAAATAATCCACACGTGTTAATGTCAACTCCGTGTAATCACGACTGGCCAGTGGAAACTTACGAGGCGAACGCAACCGCGTCTAAAGAGCATTCTCTGCATTCAGTGAATGCGTACATGTGTGTAGTATATTACTGATATGTGTCCCTACATTCATAGAAGTCAACGATACGCAACTAAATAAACAGGGCAGTCTCCAACCTCAATAATCCCTTTTCTAGCCAAACAACGTGCTAAACCATTTCACGACCACTAGACAAACTTGGCAGCCTCATAGCATTATGTAACAACTTTCACTGTATATTACATTTTGGTGAAACCTAAATCGTTTTCCTATAACCTTGAGGTGCTCGTTGCTGTAAATTGCGTCTCTAAGGCAGCATGTCACGATCCATGTAGACTGGTGTTGGTGCAAACATGGATTCGGTTTCGTTTTACTCAGGATTTTGTTGCAAGCTTTCGGTTCAATTTAAAGTTTGAATTTCGGTGCTAGTTCTATGATTTGTGTTACGTTGTGAGTTGAACTGTGAAATGTGTAGTTAAGAATTGAAGTATCAGACAATATCTTATTGATATTTTATTTTTCTTTGCCCAAAACTACTCCACTGTATAGCTTCATATCCCATCATATCCATAACTTCATATCCCACTAGTGGACATCCTCTTTGACCGAGTGATCGCAAGTGCGACTGATAGGCAAAGGGTCTCCGGTTAGATTCCTAGGCCAGACAAGCATTACTATTTTTTTTAATTTTCAATAGTAGCACGGAGTCTGAAATTGTGCCCGGTATAGACTCACCCCCTAGCACATGGGACTCCTAACATAAATAGGGATAAGTGTGTGGTAAATGTACCACTTAATGTGTACCTCTGCCTACCCCATCGGGGATAAAAAGCGTTATCATGTTATGTCTAACCTGTACAGTATATAATAAATACAATTACCATATATCAGGAACACAGTTACGAGTTAAAGTACTTATCTTCTACTTAAGCTGTTATTATTTTTCGTATCGCCAGTACACAAAGACAACCTTTCCCGCCAAACAGTCCAAAATATCTTGAAACATCAAAGAACTCAACTTTATCTAATTTACCCTTAATATCATTTTCTTCTTTGAAGCGGATCGCAGATGCCTCATAACTCTATGATGATAAATTACAGTAATCATTCCAGACATTTTCCGGCAATCTATTTTCTTTAGACGAGTTCGTTCGCGATGACAGGTGATGACGAAGTACCGGAGTACCGGTAATACACTTTATATCTCACTACCCTTGAAATCATTCGGATGGAATATTGAATAGAGTTTTCTTTATACTGGGATGGTAGTTCTGAGAAATGGAAAGAGATGTGACTTCTGTTTTTATTGAATGATGTATTTTTTACTTGAAATGTTTGAATATATTTCCTTTTAGTTGCCTATGCTGTATTCGAAACAAAATCTTATATTTGTTGATATTCAAAACTATAACGGTACACAATCATAATTATTTAATACTTTCTTTAGCAAGAATGTACTGTTAAGAAGGTTGCAATCTTGAAAATGTGTATATGTGGAACATTAAAAAATAAGAAGTCAATATCTTTAAAAATGTTAACATAAAGAACACTAATTTAAACCACAAAAATACGGAACTTATCAAACACGTTTTCATATAAAAAAATACTCACAAATATAAAAATATTCCGAGTAAAGTAAATACAAACATATCACTCACATTTCAAACAAAACAGAGGTGAATACCGAAAGAGATCAAAAAATTCCTCAAGGATCACACCAGTGTCCCAACATTCATAGAATATTAGTTTCTGGGACCCTCACAAAATGCCAAAAGTCTCGTACTGTAAGAAAAGGCAAGGATGCTGAATTATCCTTACTTTGTGAGACAATACAATTATGTCCGACAGTAAGACCCTCCTAAACCCTTCTTCCATACTCCTGTTCACAACACCGAAAGAAAACAAGTGTAGCGGATTTATCAAACAAAATATTATCTTGAGGCTTTGTAAATAAAGTTTATTCTTTATTGTAGCAATTTTATAACGTTGCCATTTTTTGTCGTTCTGCTGGGTGATATAAGGCGCTTTGGGATTTCTTTGTATTTGATGTTTTAGGTCTTGTTTTGTATAAAGATGTTATTTTGGCAGACCTTTTGTGTCACTAAGAATAGTGTGTCTAGGAATGTAACCCTATTTTTAAGATAGAAAAGACTAAGATGCGAAGATGCAATTGTAAGAAAAATTGGAAGGTAGAAGCAAATATCTTGTTATTTTTCTCATTCGCCTGCACTGTTGGGAGAATGACATTACAGTTCGTGACTGTTGCTCGTGTAATTCTATTACCAGTTATTTCTGTTATTTGTAGAATATCCGCTTCTGGGTTATGTCCATTTTGGCCATTGCATTGGTCGAATGTTTGACAAACACAACCTTTGCAAGGAAGCAATTGTTAGTATTAATTGCCATTTTCGTGCTCCTTTTACAATTGAAGTTGAATAGTTGTACTATCACTGGCTATTGTATAGGACTCAAAATCCTATACCATAGTAAGCAATTACTAAAGACCTAATATTTTCCAAACTTTCAGTTGATCTCTCAATCTTCTCATCAATGGACCAATGAAGCTATAAGTCAGATATATTACTATCATTAAATGAAATTATTTGTGTTGTTCCAGGCACTTCATTGGCATGTGACGCGGGTGCAGTGAGCGGCATGCGAGGCGAGCGCTCGAAGCGGGCGGCCGGCTCGCTCGCCGCGCTCGCGACGCTCCTAGCACTCAGCTTGCCTCAACTTGGATATGCTGAACTTACATCTAACGGTGAGTTACACAAATGTCAGCCTGAATATGGTTGATATTTTGATTAAGTTTATTCTTGGCGATTATAAACTTATATTACTGTAAATGAAAAACGAAGGAAATCATGTTTTCTTTGGTTTTAAGATGTATTCACAAATCTTAATGCAAAATTTGCGTTTATAAATAACTATCATTCTGATTCATTAATGAGTATTTTTAGTTTGAGCGTAAATTATTATTATTATGTATGTATTTTTATACCTTCATAAAATGGTTGTGAGTAGTCGCAAAGCTTCTTCAAGTAACCACTTTTATACAGCTACCTTCACATACCTGGTCACAAAATGAAATTATTTGATTTGTTATTCCATTTCATTTGATTGAGCCCTTCTTATGCCTTGACAGCCTTTGTGCCTAAGCTTTCAGTCCCTAAAGTATTATTATACTGTAATTTGTACTTTGATGTTCGGGTCTTTGATTAGAATGAACGGCTACCACCTGACAGGTGATTGTATTGCCATGCAAAGGGGATTTCGTTTGTCGTAGATTTGTAACAGGCTTTTGAAGATCAATGCTAAGTTGATTGGGTTAATGTGTACTAAATATATGGCTTTGCTGTCGATGGTTTTTGTTAAGGGACTAAATAAATAAAGTAGTATTATTTTGGTTTTCTTAGATTGCTATGTGACGATATTTACTTTGCTTGTTTGCTGTTGGTCATAAAATAATAATACATTTTTAATCTGCTCATTTTATTGCATAACAATTAGAAATTGCTTCTAATTTTATTCTGGATGACTGTCTTCATAACAATTTTTTTTATAAGATAGTAACATTATTATTTGTTATATATTCAATCTATAAAAATAAATAAAAAGCGTTTATTGTAACAAAAACATTAGAGGCACAGTTTATGAATACTAACATCTAAACTAGGCCGAGCATGTACCTTAGATGTTTCACAAACAAATATTTATAGGAAATCGAAACTTAAAACGAATGTCTCACAAAAAAATGAGGTCACAAAAAATAGAAACCTTGATTGTACAAACTAATCACAGCAACAAACTAATAGAGAAGTTCATTGATCATTTGATTGAAGTAATCACGACATCGGTACTCGAGTTTTATCGGACACCAAAATGTAGGTATCGATAAAACGAATTAGGTGTTAGGCACATCATTATTCGTTAGTGAGTAAGTGCTTGCAGTACCTAGCTAAATAGGGATCGAATGAACCTCTTTTATGGATAGATATACATTAAAGTAGTCGATCGTCTACATAGTATTGTAGTAAAACTTTATTTATTCACTAGCTGTGCCCGCGACTTCGTTCGCGTAGAATAGTGACTATGAGCAGCGTTTTTTTTTTAATATATACTTATTTTTATTTTAGATTTGGATCATATTCACAGTCATTTTGGGTAGCTAAAAAACCTACTTTACTGTAATGCTTCTCTATATACAATATTAGACGTATGGCCATCGGGGGTGAAAGCATACAGGCTGCTGGGATTGCTAACACGGGACAGAGCCACATACAATTGACCGTGCGAAAAACAGCTGATACTTAGATCTATACCCACAACTTTTAGAGTCTGACCTTGAGCTTTATTAATTGTCATGGCGAAACATAGGCTCACTGGAAACTGAATTCGTTTAAAATTAAACGAAAAATTTTTTGGAATGAGAGGAATCTGAGGAATAAAACCACTATCACCTTTTCCGCACCCTGTTAAATATATATATATTTATAAGCCATTTCTGAGATTAGCGTGAACAGACAAACAGACAAACAGACAAAAAAAAGTTAGTTACATTTTTGGGTTCGAAATCGACATAACAATAGCCCCTGCTATTTTTTTTATTTTTATTTTCAATGTACAGACAGCACTTTTCTACAATTTTATTATATGTATAGATAGATAGATAG